GATTTGATCGAGTGGATGATTAAAATATTATTTTTAAATAATATTAAAATAATAAATAATATTAAAAAATTATTAAATAGTAAATTTTTTTACCTATAAATAGCCATGGGAGGGAAGGGTACTCTGCACAAAGAGAGGAAGAATCAAGAGAGAAATCTTGAAATTTAGAGAAGAAAGAGTTAGGAAGAAATTTTAGTTGTAAGAAGAGTAAAATTTTGAAGAGTTTTCGGGGAACGACTTCTAGTAGAAAAATAATTATGGAGAAGAGGTAGGGGAGCTAACCTTTCTAAGCTTTTATATTATGATTTAGTATTGTTTTATTACTATTCATGTCTTGAAATTTTGTGTGAATACTATTAATGCTTACTGTATATTTATTTTCTATGTTAATATTATATGTTGTTATTTTGAATCTGTAAATAAGAAATTTGTTAAAACTAGTTGAGGAACACTTTGGCTAAGGAAATATTTGGTACTTAAGTTGTCCATTGTGACACACATCTCTTTCCTAGAAGTCTACTCGACAAGTTTTTAACTTAAATCTTGTTGAACAAATTATGTACTGTTAAACTATTGTGCAATATATCTCGTTAGAATGAAAATGTCTGATGAATTCATGTTATTGTGGTAAATATGGAATTATGAATTATAATTGTGATGGTAGGATAGAGGAATCTTAAAAACCGGAGTTGGTACATCCCTGGTCCAATCCAATAAGTTGTGACTAGTCATATGTATAGGCGTTTATGGTGAGTTTGATTCGTCAAACATTTGATTCTTCTCCGGTGACCATTTATAGTGATATTTTATTATTGTTAATTTATTTATACATTCATTTTATATGATTTCTGTGATGATTGTATTTTATTATATTGGATTTGAATTTATGCATCCGAACATGATATGAGTATTATGGGGAGATTTTGTAATGGTATAATGAGGAATATGAGCATGGTACGAGTCTCGTGGAGAGATTCAGTAATGATATGGTATTTGTGGATATGTTGATGATGAGGGTCCCGTAGTTGGAGGTTATCTTGATACTCTAATAATCATCCAGTTTCAAGTAGAGAAGGATGAATTATGTGGTGAAAGGAGCAGGAGGTCCTGGTCTATGTGTCAGTTTTGAACATAGTGTCGAGGACTAACCTTGTGAATGGTATGAAGTATTTTGGAAGTGTATTTGTAAGAAGGAGTAGAAGTCATCACAAGTGCATAACCTGACCGCTCATCAACATATTATCGGGATAAGTGTCTATTGTAGTATTGTGGGATGAGTATCTAAGATGCGATTGTTGTATGATGGTATGAAGGGGTCTGATATAATTATATGATATTTGTTATGCATGTTTTATGAACGATTGGTTGCATGTTAGCTCACCGTACTTGTTTGTGTTTGTGTTTGGGTATGTGCAATGATCATATAATTCGTTATACGGGAGCAGATGAAGGAATGTCGTCTGATCCAGTGCCAATGAACATAGAGATAGAAGAATAAAGTAGAAGAATTCATGTTATATTATGATTTTGGAGTTGAAATCCAAGTTTAAAACATGTATAGATAAATATCAACTATAAATTTTAATTTGCGAGATTACGAGATGTTACCTTAGATGTAATGTTACAATATATAAATTATGAATTATCAAGTGTGTGATTATGGGATGTTACTAATAAAATAATACACATTAGACGAGTATATTAATATACATTAGATGATTATAATAATACACCTTAGATGAGTGTATCTGTATACTGATTAGACAAACTTAGCATTAAATATTAGATAAATATATAGATGCATATAGGAGTCTAGCAATATACATTAGACTAATATATTCTTGATTTTTATTTGTACTACTAAACATATTTTTGCATAATCTATTTTTTGTATTTTTAAAGAGTTAACTCTGTATTTTTTTCAAATTATATTCTGTGTATTTTTCAGAAAAATTACAGTTAGATATATCTATATATATATATATATATCTATATATATATATACTTTCTATAATTAGAATAATTTTTTTCCGTTGTTAAAATTTAATTATAAATTAAAAAATATTATTAGTGTTTTTCCAATTTGTACATATATTTTTAATATAATATATATTTAAATAATTTTAAATATAATATATTTAGTACAAATAAAAACACACGCAAAACATTAAACCGTTATATATATTAAAAGAAGACAAACCCATGGGGGGGGGGGGGGGGGTGGGGGGGGGGGGGGGGGGGGGGGGGGGTGGGGGGTGTGGGGTGGGGGGTGTGGGGGGGGGGGGGGGGGGGGGGGGGGGGGGGGGGGGGGGGGGGGGGGGGGGGGGGGGGGGGGGGGGGGGGTGGGGGTGGGGGGGGGGGTGTGGGGGTGGGGGGGTGGGGGGGGGGGGGGGGGGGGGGGGGGGGGGGGGGGGGGGGGGTGGGGGGGGGGGGGGGGGGGGGGGGGGGGGGGGGGGGTGGGGGGGGGGGGGGGGGGGGGGGGGGGGGGGGGTGGGGGGGGGGGGTGGGGGGGGGGGGGGGGGGGGGGGGGGGGGGGTGGGGGGGGGGGGGGGGGGGGTGGTTGGGACCAACAACCGGGGGGGGGTGGGGGGGTTGTTTTTTGGGTTGTTTTTGTTTTTTTTTTTTTTTTGTTTTTTTTTTTTTTTGTTTTTTTTTTTTGTTTTTTTTAAAAACCACAAAAACACAAACAAAAAATTTGGAATTTTAAAGTCATTACTTTTATATGTATTATTTTTTCTAATTTTTTACACGATTGTAATTAAATTTTTGTGTACTTTACATCAATAATTTAAAGATTTTCATCAATAATAATCGGGCAATTTTGTTGTAGGTGAATAGTAATTAATCCTTGGCTTCCGAGGAATTTTGGAAGAAAACATTTATCTCCTACGAATGACTGATAAATCTGAATTATTCTTACCTTTCAATCATAATTGTAACAACATTAGGTGATTATAGTAAAGATAACTTTTTCTAACGTTGAATAAAATTCCTTTTCAAACTATTAGTTTTATTATAATTCAAAATATGTATCCAACTCAGTGATTTGATTTTATATTGAAACGTACGCGTAATGAGAAAAAAGTATGTGTAAAAAAGATTGATGTTATGGAGCATATGATATTCGGGACTATACAGAGTTGTGAATTTCTTGTATCATTATTTTAAATAAATATAGAACTTCAAGAATTTAATTTTAATTTACACGAATAAGTTATTTCAATTTAACTCTAAATTTGTCTTCGGGTTCGAACCTGTCATTTTAATTGAACAAATTAAAGAACCATCTTATATTAGCACAAATTTACTATAACCCCCATTTAAACATTATTTTTACACGACTTCAATTTAAATAAGATTATGAAATTATGTTAATTTTACACTTATTTTAATTTAATTAAAAAGAATAAAATCAAAATTACCTTTGAAACTTGACCTAAAAATTTGTAAAACCAATACACTAATTTAAAGTATTATCAGCATGTACGATTTCTTGTTAAATAAGAAATAAAAGAGTATGACCTGAAAAAAAAGCAAAATGAACTATTAAAATGTGATATTATTATTAAAATAATAATATTTTAACTCACATAATTTTTTTATATTTATTCAGTATTATTATTTTTTATTTTTTACTTTTTTTAAAAAATATATAAAATTTATTTTTTACTATCATTTTAATGTGTGTTAAATAAATATAAAAATGTGATCTCCATTATTTTATTATTATTTTTATATAAATGTAAAAACGTCATCCTACCATTCTTTTAGGACACCATTCATTATTTTTTCTGTTGGAAGCTTCTTTTTTAGTATCTCAACAAACATTTCTTACACGAAGAGCTTCAAAAACTTTGAAACGTGGTTTGTTGACGTGCCACTATATTGGGGTTTTGGATTTGGTGCGTTTTGTGTGATGATGAATTACGTAACTATGCGTCCCTAACAAATGAAAAAGAAAGATGACCTAAATTTAGTGGTAACAAATCCTTGTCTTATTTTTTCTACCTTCTAACAGCTTTAACACACACAAATTGGTTCTATTATTAAATATTTAAAATTACGTGAATATTAACTCAGTAACCAGAAAATGGAAATTACTCGAATTAATTTCCAGTTATACATGAATTGTTTGTCAATGGCAATGACAAACCGATACCATTTGAAGTACTAGAATTAGGATAAAGAGAAGTTCACACATGGGACTTATGGTGTCTTCTCTTTGCCTTTTGAAGATAAAAGTGAGAAAGCTTTTTAATTTATTTTGTTTTCCCTTTACATTATTCCTCAACACACTCCTATCATATCTCTTCCTAACCAACACAACTTCTTCTTTTGGGTGCCTTTTCTAAAAAAATTTGTGTATTATTGTGGGTAGAACTCTATTTTAAAATCATAACAATGATTTTTGTTTATTAGCTACAACTTAATAAAAACATAACAAGTTGTAAATTTCATTTTATAACGTTTAATAAATGTCGATAAAAGAAAAAAAATGTACCTATTACCAATCTATTTTATTTCCCTGAATCGGTTCATTTAAAACAAAACAACATTTTTAACTGCAATTTCAATTTCAATTTCAGACCAAAATGGAGCCAAAACTCGATAATTGTTAGGTACTGTTTGTTAGGTGTGGATGCAACTAGCAAGTTGCAACAACCACCATGTTCATTGAAATCACAAAAAATTGTATTATTTACTTAATGAAATTAATCGTTCGTTTAAATATAAAATTTTTTTAAGTTTTAAAAATATTTTAATTAAATTAATAAAAAGTATAAGAAAAAAAAAGATAATTCATTAGACGGTCATTTACTTCAAGACCCATGAGGCTAGCGGGTCTAAAAGGTCATCCGAGGAAGCAAGGGTAATGATTGTCTTTTACCGTGAACGATTAATGGAGTGAAGTGAAGTTTGGCGTAAACCAACACCTGCCACGTGGCACTGCAAGTAAATATCGTTGCGCTTAATCCAAAAAAGCTACCACTCCCATCACACACCACCTCAACACCTCCTTTCCTCTCTCTCTTTCTTCTAGTTTTCCTTTCTCTCTCTTCGGTTCCCAATTCATTGTACACTAATCAGAGCACCGTTCACCAATGGCGTTTCTGCTGCATTCTTAGTTTCTCATTTTCCTGTTCGCAATTTCGTTCGTCCCGTTTCTTCTCAGCGTGCGTTTGTTCGGTTCCGTTGCAGCAATGGAGTTTGAGCGCCCAACCGCCGCACCGCTCAACTCCGCCATGACCTACGACGAGGCCTCCATGGAGCGCAGCAAGAGCTTCGTCAATGCCTTGCAGGTTTCCTCTCTCTTATCTTTTCTCTTGCTTGTTTAAATTTCAGATCTAGGTATGTTTGGTTGACTTTGTTTCGGCTCGGTTTCCTTCTCAATTAGGTTTGTTTTTGCGATTCTGGTTTAGTTAACGCAGGAAAAATCGGTCGCCGTGAGTATCAATTGCTAATTCAGTAGTTATCAAAACTTATTGGGAGTTAGCTTATCGAGTCAGTGATGCTTGACAATGACATAAGATAGGATTCTTTTGTGTGTGTGACAACCAGGGGGATGGAACTATTAATAAAAAAATTTAGATGCTGTTGCAGAGAAAGCTATTATGTCGGCTTGAAATTTTTTTTAGCTTTTAGTTAAAAGTAAGCTACTGGGGCCAATGGCGGAGCTAGATGGTTTTAATTTGGCTGGCCAGATAGATAAAACACTGTTAAGGAAGGACTTATTATTCCATTAAAAACAGAGCAATGCTATACCCCGTCTGATTTTTTAAATTGTCCGGTTTTTGGATAAATTTTGTTTTTATTTACAGTCCTTCAATTAATTACTCTTTTACCAATTATACCCTTCTGTTTCTTAATTTTTAATTAATTTACTCAAGAATTATTGCAAGAGGGAAGAGTAGGGAGTAGTAAAAAACAGGAAACTCCACTATTTTATTAAAATAAAAAAAATAATGTATTTCTCGGTTTTTTAGAAAACAATCTTAAAATCAGATAAAATCTTAAAATCGTTCGTAACTAGCCTTGATTTCCTTAGAGCATCTCCATGCACGATATATATAAATTTGAAAATTTTCAGAGGTAGACTTTGATAACAAAAAATAATGATTTTGTATAGGATGTGAAGGTAAAGTTTACATGAGTTTCTATATTAATTAAAGCAGGATGTTTTGATGGTGAGCTGAGTGGAGAGAGTTTAAATAATTTAATCAGTTTAGTTCATGGTGAAGAAAGAAAACGAGAAATTGAGTTCCAGGAGAGGGAAAGCTGATGGAAGGATTTGACTGTAGCAATTAAAAATGTAAGAGATTTAGTTTCTTCCCATTACAGTTTTACAGAAGCTATGATATTCTTACGCGTTTTACTTTAAATGTTGAATAAAAGAGATGGCTTGAATAAAGCCAATGGATCAAGTCTAAAGGTGGTTAGTTGTAAATCTGAATGGTACCACTTTATGCGGTTAATTAAGTTAAGGTCTAGCGAATACTTAACACTTTTTTAGATTAACATATCTTCTAGTGGAATGCTTGATTAGTTTCTCTTTAGTTGTTGTGGTTATTGTTTTAACATGCATAAATACTGATATAATCTTCATATTGTGATCATTTCAGGAACTTAAGAACCTAAGGCCTCAACTGTATTCTGCTGCAGAATACTGTGAAAAATCTTATCTCCATAGTGAACAGAAACAAATGTAAGGATTCTTTTTGTGAATGAGTTGTTTTATTCAATTGTTCGTGTTGGCCTCCTTACCACATTTCTCTTTAGCCGGTTTTCTGTGTGTGGTGATGGACTTTTCTTCTAATTGATTCGTTCGAGAAATACAGATGTTATGAATTCATTTCTTTATATCCTGCTTGGGTGTTTTAATTTTTGTCTAGCACATATGTATCCCATCAAATGTTACATGTATTTTGTTGGATAAAGAGAATGAATGAATTTGGACTTGTTTCTTTTCATTTCAATATGATGATTTGTAATTACAAACTTTGGATGGTCTGGAAAGTGGAAAATAAAGAACATTAACTAATTTTTTAATCGTTTTATTGGGTCTCTAAACCTGACCGTTTGAAAAGTATTCCCATTATATGTTTGCGGATGTGCATGCAGAAACTTCATTATAACGCATGGTCATGTTTCAACCATGAAATTGGGAAGAATGAATGTTATAATTATCCTGGAAAAGGATTCTTGATTTTATGTCCTTAAAATAATTTTCTGAGTTGTTCATTTAACTGTTTCTAGGAGTTTCAATGGGGAGAGTTCTTTTAATATTAAGCTCCATCCATATTTTCTCTCTGAACAAATGAATGTCACTGTCACCATTTCCTTTCCTTTGCCCATGTTATTATTTTTGGGCTGCATGGAAAATTTTCCTTACGTTATTAATATTTACGCATTAGGGTTCTTGACAACCTGAAAGATTATGCTGTAAGAGCCCTTGTGAATGCTGTTGATCATCTAGGAACGGTTGCATACAAGTTAACTGACCTTCTTGAGCAGCAAACATTAGATGTCTCAACCATGGATTTGAAGGTTCGCTACCATAAATCAGGTAATTACAATTTTTTTGAGACTGTGCTTTAGAGAAAAGGAAAAACAAGTGCCCCTGGAACATTCGTTGAGGAAACAAAGTATTTCAGTTTTTAGTTAGAAAAAAAAAAAAACATATATTTCAAAGAAAACAGAGAAGTTCTTTAATGCTTCCCTTTATGAGTACTTGAAAGCATTTAAAAAAGTAAATTGAGCAATACCCTATGTTATGACAGACAAATCAATTGGAATTGAAATAACATGTTTGCTTACTAGCAGAAACTTCTTACCTGCCAAATCTACACTGATAAAGAAGGTCTACGGCAGCAACAACTGTTGGCTTTCATTCCTAGACATCATAAGCACTACATTTTGCCAAGTATGCCTCACTGCTTTAATGATCATCTGGAAGTGTAATTGTTGGAACTAAAGAACAGTAGCTTTAGCTTTTACTAATGGTTCTATATGTTCGTTTAACCTTGCAAGCTAGATTCTATCAATAAAAAGGTGCATTTCAGTCCACACATCCAGATTGATGCAAGACAGAATCTATTTCAAACCAGAACCCGTTTACAATCTTCAGGTGTGTTATGGTGAAAGTGTTGTCCCATCTAGAATTTTTGCCGTTATTTTATACATGTTCTGTATTTTTTCTGGAAGTGAAATTTATATCATTAATCCTAACATTTATAGTTCTAAATCTAGGTACCCCTGCAGCGAAAACTCTTTCATGGCATTTAGCATCAGAGACAAAGTCTACCTTAAAAGGGTCTTCTCATGCCTCCCCAAAGTAAGTTTTGGAATTTAATAGTATGAGACTACCAAACTGCTGCTTTTTGTGTTTTCTACACTCCGTAGATGCCATTATCATATCGAACCTACTTTTGTAGCATCGAGAACCCAAAATTTTCTGCCAAGGCTTCTGGAGTCTTCCATCTTTTAGGTTTGTGATATAATTGTATCCCTTTTATTATGTAATAATTAAATTCAGTTCGATTAAAAAATGGTGGTTTCTTAATGTAGAAGTCATAGATACTTATACTTCACTGTTATGTGCCTGTAGATAATGAAGAGAACACCTGGATGAAATCCTCACCAGCACAAACTCACTTTCCAAATGGAGTTCCTCCATCTAGTACACCTATTCATACTTTAGGTGGTACGCGCAAGGTAATTTTATATTCATCAAAATTGCAAATGCCCGGTGAAGCCATACTTGATTGTCAACTTGTGCTTCATATACGTGTGTTTTTTCAAATAGTTGCAAGTGTTATAAAGCCTGTTTGTTAATCTTTAAATGAAATTGTTCGTCTGGCACATGAGTTAAAATGAAAGGTGTTAAATTGTTATGAATGTCACCAAATAATATGCTGGGGAATTTTTCAGTAATCTCGACTTGTACAGCGACTCATTTCGGTAGCTATATGAATATATGTGCAGTATAAGTTTACATTTCTGGGATAGGACAAAGAATTAATGTTCAATATCTGTGTGTTGGAAAGCCACCTTAAAGGATGTGATCAGAAAACATAGGTTACATCTAATAACTAAACTAAACTTCTATTGGAGATTTATTCGACAGAAGAAATTGACGTTTACGAAGGAATGTAAGGTTTGGAGCAGTTTTGTTTGTTTTCTAGATTAGCATTAACTAATATTCAGTCTTGGCGGGTTTGTAAATTTTCTATAAAATTGTCATTCTGCAGGATGCATTGGAGGGTTCGAAACCGTTGACAGCATTCAGGTCATTTGACAACCCAAATCGGCGCGAGGTTGTCCAAGTCCCTACTAGAAGCAAGAGTGTGCTATCAGCTTTCTTTGCTAAGCAGAAAACACCAAAGTTGAAGGCCAGTTCTTTCTTATGAGTACACTCAGAATTAATTAGTCTCTCATTCAAACCTTTGAATAATGATCCTGTCAGTAGCAGCTTCCCTTTCAATGATAAAGGCCAGGATCTTGGTCTTCTACTCGCTCGCTCTTACTCTTCTCAATTGTCATCTATAGTGTTCAGGCATCTCTAAAATGTATATTTGTGGCATGCTATGCAAAAAAAAAAAAAAATACATTTTTTGTTCTTCAAGTTTTGATGTATCACCAAAATTTTAAAGATGGGGTCTTATTCCGATGTATTATACTCTTTACTAGTAAGGCAGACTATACTAATGTGGAATTTTTTTTAATCAAACTGTTCTTAAATCATACCGAATCTTTTTTCCTTTTTTATAATACCTTCATATATATATATATATATATATATATAAGTGTGTGTGTGTGTGTGTTATAGTATATACCGATTGTGAGTATTAACTTTTGCAGGTACCTTGTGAATACTTTTGTTAAATTTTTCAATTGACTATATTTTATTTTTCATTTATAAGATTTAAAGTTGAAATGTTGTTCAAGGGGATTTAGTTTAAAATTGCTCAAATTATTGACGTCTTGGTTGACGAATTTAACTATGAGAATGTTTTCTTTAAGACAAAATTGACTTAAATAATTTCATAAAACTGGTTCAACCAAAATATTTTAGAATATTATTGATGTAAATCATTTCATAGGATAGAACTGATTCAGTTGAAATATTTACTAAGAGGTGAATTTGGTTCTTTGAAAACATTAAGCTTTATATAAGTATTACATAAGCCAATTGATTAGATTGAATCGATCTAAAAACAGTTTCATTGACTTTAAATGGTTATATAAAAATATTTAGTTAATTTTTAAAAAATTCAAATATTGTAAAGTTTTCATTTTATTTTATTTTTCCATTTTGTTATATTTTCTTCATGCGATTGGACATAGACTAATTTTCTTGAAATTGTTACTAATCTGATAAATTTTTATATATGACGACTTCAATTAAAATTGAAAAGGTTAAAAAGCTGTATATACGAAAATTAACTATATAATGCATTAACAATTAAGAAAAAATTGACAGATGTTTAATATTTCGTCGTAAGCGTTGAATAAAAGAGCAATAAAGAGTTCAAATTGTGACTTGTCATAAGGATAAAATGAAACATTTTTATGGTTAGGAGGAGTTTGGAATTTTTAATGGAAACTTTGAAGTTAGAGAATGGACCCTTTTAGCTGGCTGTCCATGATTGAGCATTAAAAACAGTGGCTCCTTAGGGTAGGGGTGTTACACGAAAAAAATCAACATTTCATTAATCAAAACTAAATAATTAAAAAAATGCGTTTCCGGGAGTCGAACCCCGGGTCTTATTTGCTTGGAAGGCAATTAATCCTAACCGTTGGACTACCAAACGCTGGTGATGGAGGTTTGTAAATGTTTAAATATTTTACTTACTATTTAGGGAGGTCAAGAAGGAAGATGCTAATTGGTGTGATTTGGTCAAATGACGTGTTGATCTCTGTATATTTTATGTGTTAGAAAAAGATAAAATATAGTAATTGGTAAATTACAATTTTACTTGTTCTTTAATTTTTATCCGTAATTGTTTTTTAATTTTACTCTTTCCATTTAAAAAATTAGCATTTTTTTATTATAATCAAATTTTCAAATGTTTTTTTTATGATTAATTAATTAAACAGTTTTGTGGTACCTTAAATGGGATTAACGGATATACAAATCAATTGAAAAAAAAAAACTAGATAAAACATGTGAACAAAATAAAAAAAAAATATATCAGAATACATATTTTCTCAAATATGAGAATTAAATCCTGTAAAAATAAAATAATCAGATTGAAAAGTACGAATTAAATGAATATTAAAATTTAATAGTCATAATTATATATAAAATATGATTATTGTTCTTAAAGAAGTTAAATTTTAATTTAAAATTAACAAAAATAGTTTCTTCCCCTAAACTTACGTATGATTTAGATTATTCTATCCAATAAATCCAATGCCTATCTCTTAACATTTTTAAACTAACATAATATACTCTTATCTTCGTAAGGGTGACTGGACTTATTTAGTGTTTTTTAATAAAAAATAAATAATGTAATGCATATTTAATTTATTAAATTCATTTGGTATGTTATATCAAAAACATGTTTATATGTTTTATAAATGTTAATGTTTCTTATTCTTTTGAACAATCTAGATGGGTATTTTGTAACCAATTTGTGACTACATTAAATTGATCAGTCAAATTCAAAACTAAATAATATTTCAAACGACTTCAGAATTATTATCCAAGTTAGTCTTGGAAACAATAAATATTATTTTGATATAGTCTAATTTGAATAATAAAAAAGAAATAAGAGACATAATTATCAAAATTGTATATATTAAAGTTGCTAAATCTTTTTTTGTATTTGAATTATGGTGATATCACTAATAATAAAGATGAAGATAAATGTATGTGAATCAATTATCAAATAATTCACAAAAATAACTAATTAATGAAGAATGACATTAAGTTTAATGAATTTAAATTTATTTTTTATTCTCATAAATATGATACATAGATTCAAAGATTCATAATGAAAATATATTTCATATTATAGAGTATTACACATGTTTAAAACATTATTAATTTTTTCTAACATATTTTCGATATATTTATTATGTTAAAGAATTACCTATATTTAAAGTATTATTTCTTTTACATATTTTTTTTCTTTTTATGGAAGGCGAAGTATGAGGCAGGCCGGCCCCCCAGGGGGAGAGGGGGGGGAGGGGGGATAAGAGAAGGNTCTAGTAGAAAAATAATTATGGAGAAGAGGTAGGGGAGCTAACCTTTCTAAGCTTTTATATTATGATTTAGTATTGTTTTATTACTATTCATGTCTTGAAATTTTGTGTGAATACTATTAATGCTTACTGTATATTTATTTTCTATGTTAATATTATATGTTGTTATTTTGAATCTGTAAATAAGAAATTTGTTAAAACTAGTTGAGGAACACTTTGGCTAAGGAAATATTTGGTACTTAAGTTGTCCATTGTTACACACATCTCTTTCCTAGAAGTCTACTCGACAAGTTTTTAACTTAAATCTTGTTGAACAAATTATGTACTGTTAAACTATTGTGCAATATATCTCGTTAGAATGAAAATGTCTGATGAATTCATGTTATTGTGGTAAATATGGAATTATGAATTATAATTGTGATGGTAGGATAGAGGAATCTTAAAAACCGGAGTTGGTACATCCCTGGTCCAATCCAATAAGTTGTGACTAGTCATATGTACTAGCGTTTATGGTGAGTTTGATTCGTCAAACATTTGATTCTTCTCCGGTGACCATTTATAGTGATATTTTATTATTGTTAATTTATTTATACATTCATTTTATATGATTTCTGTGATGATTGTATTTTATTATATTGGATTTGAATTTATGCATCCGAACATGATATGAGTATTATGGGGAGATTTTGTAATGGTATAATGAGGAATATGAGCATGGTACGAGTCTCGTGGAGAGATTCAGTAATGATATGGTATTTGTGGATATGTTGATGATGAGGGTCCCGTAGTTGGAGGTTATCTTGATACTCTAATAATCATCCAGTTTCAAGTAGAGAAGGATGAATTATGTGGTGAAAGGAGCAGGAGGTCCTGGTCTATGTGTCAGTTTTGAACATAGTGTCGAGGACTAACCTTGTGAATGGTATGAAGTATTTTGGAAGTGTATTTGTAAGAAGGAGTAGAAGTCATCACAAGTGCATAACCTGACCGCTCATCAACATATTATCGGGATAAGTGTCTATTGTAGTATTGTGGGATGAGTATCTAAGATGCGATTGTTGTATGATGGTATGAAGGGGTCTGATATAATTATATGATATTTGTTATGCATGTTTTATGAACGATTGGTTGCATGTTAGCTCACCGTACTTGTTTGTGTTTGTGTTTGGGTATGTGCAATGATCATATAATTCGTTATACGGGAGCAGATGAAGGAATGTCGTCTGATCCAGTGCCAATGAACATAGAGATAGAAGAATAAAGTAGAAGAATCCAAGTTATATTATGATTTTGGAGTTGAAATCCAAGTTTAAAACATGTATAGATAAATATCAACTATAAATTTTAATTTGCGAGATTACGAGATGTTACCTTAGATGTAATGTTACAATATATAAATTATGAATTATCAAGTGTGTGATTATGGGATGTTACTAATAAAATAATACACATTAGACGAGTATATT